AGGGTAAAAAAACAAACAAACTATGAATGGCTTAAAGACAGTGTACCAGTGTTAAATCTGTACATGGAGTTGCTTGCTCCATCTGCTGTCATCCCTCCAAAGATGTAGATATTTTTGCCCAGCACAACAGCTGAGTGGGCAGCTACTCCTGGTGGAATATCTCCTTTGGCCTGCACTTTCTCCCACTTCATGCTTCCTTTAAAGATAATTTAACAGATATTTTTATATCATCCCAGTGCAATGCAGTGATACTCTGAACATGTATGATGCATGTGTGTTGAAATACAACACTTCCTTTGTGAATCACAGATGTGGACAGTCTTACTTGAATCAAGAGAATACATATCGTTGTGGAATTTGTCTCCAGCCATGCCCCCATGAATGTAGATCTTTGAATCCACCGCTACAATGATGTGACCATGTCTGGCTGGAGGGTGCCTGCCTTGTGTTTCAGGTTGGGACCAAGTAGAAGAAACTGCAACAGATTTCCACAGAAGAGATGGACGGAAAAAAGATTATTTTTATATAAGCATATACGCTTTTCATAGCAATTGTCAATAGTGAAACATGAAAGAAACAGGAGAATATGGATTTTCTTTTTGAAAATCTCAATCACAGACAGGAAATGCCTCGAACAGTGACATATCATATTTCCTCAGCACTTGATCTTTTTGTATCTACCAGTGAATGAATAATGAGTGTATACATTCTCTTAATTGTTTGCATCATATATCAATTATGTCTGTTATGTGTGTTTTTTTTCCTGTTTTTATAATCAGCATTGGGAAGGTTACTTCTAAAATGTATTCCACTACAGATTACAGAGTACATGCCCCAAAATGTATTTTTGTAACATATTCCATTACGTTACTCAATGAGAGTAACATATTTTTGAATACTTTGGATTACTTAATATATTATTATGGTTTTTACAACTACATGAATGTACTCTTGCTGTGTGATTTATTACTGAAGGCTACTCGCCATACCAATACCAACTACATTTTAGAATCTTAATATAAAATGAGTAACAGTAGGGTGGACATTAGGTAAGGCTGCAGTTTTTGCAGCGATCTCGTATAGAAAACTATTTCATGTGTATATAAAACAGGTCCCCGGCTCCGAACCATAGTAAAGGGAACTCTGGCTAATATGTCGGGTTCCGTGTCCGGCTCGTAGCCTGAAATCTAGCTATACTATATTTACATGCTTCCATCTCCAGTTTCTGCTCAGGGACAACTCGTACTTTTCCACTCTCCTTTTTCTCCCTCCCTTGCTCACAGACACATAACGGGTATGGCAGTCCATTCTTCCTGCAGCACGGACTACACTGCCCATGAGGCTACATTCTTTAGGGCGATGCCTCTATCACTGCCTATTGCCTTCATATTAAATAATTTCTTGACCAATTTTTAAAAATATTTCTTCACGTCATTATGCGGGTCGCAAGTAGGGGTTACATAGTCCGCGAGATTGACACACAGGCATTAGAGCCTCTTAATGCGTGTTTTGTTTGGGTTTCCACTGGCGTGGAATTACCAAAAATAGAGAGGGCATAGCCTAACATATGAAACAGGAAAAGACC